AAATTCTGTATTTAATTTCTATTTCAATCAGTTATGGCTAAAATGCGGTGTGATGTTTGTGTCTAATATGTAAGGTCTAAAGTTTTCTTCTTTTTTTCTGCTTTAAAATTCCCTTCCCTTCTCTTCTGCCAGAGTGTCTTTTTATGAGAAGTTTGATACTTTCAAACTGGCAGCAGTGGACTGAAACTTTTCCAAAGAAGTGGTCTGATTTTAGGTTATCACTAGGGCCCTAAAAACATCTTAAGGCTTGCACTGCTGAAAACTTTTACTTCTCAGTTGCAATGACAACAAGAGAAGTACTTGGTCGGACGGTCCCAGCTGATAAGAGCCGTCAACTCTAAATACTCTGCTTCTTTTCTTCAATGCATCGCTCTCATGTGGAGGTGCAGAAGGGACTTTTCTTTGTCTGAATGCCTTCATCGGAGTGATTACTTATGGGAGGATGGGGACAGAAAAAGGATGAGCTAAAGTGGAACAGTCCAGCAGAGGAAGCTGAGCGTTCATAAAAGTGGGTCCCAAGTGACTCCACTTATTCAGTCAAAAAAAAAAAAAAAAAAAATCCTTCAGCAGACCTTGAATATCATACTTTTTGAGTATAAGAGGAGACAATTTGCAACACAAACTCATTTATCTCTTCATAAATTAATTTTTTTTTGGAGCTTTCTGAAGGAGTGTTAACTGTAGCATAATCTCAATTCCCATTGGACAAAAGGTGGAGTCCAACCTGGACGGTCAAATGCAAATAATAAGTCCATGTCTGTTTAGAATCACTTATAGACATGCATGTTTTTTGAGTTTGGAAGTTCACTGCCATACTGGGAGAAAACCAAGGCGGGCTCAAGGAGAACATGTAAACTTCACATGAAAGAATATGCACTACAACAATCTGAACAGCAGAATTTCTTGTGACAAATTAACACTGATAACATGTCAGCAGCTGCACAAAACTGTTTGTAGGCTGATAGCAAAAAAAAAAAAAAAAAGAAAAACACCATGAAGAGCTAAGAAACTGTTTTATTAGGTGTCACTAAGCAAAAAAAAAAAAAAAATGTTCCGGGAAACAGTACTTGATTACAGGAAGACGAACCGTACGTCTCCACATTGTTTAATTAATGAAGACATTTAGTACAAAATAACTGCCATCTCACAGACTTTTGGTGCATTTCTACTTAATTTTTGCATGACTTCCTTGCTTTAATTTGGCATAATATCCAATTTGGTTTAGGAAATGAACATTTGTAGAGTTGGAATATTTTCCGTTTGTTACCTTGGAGTGATGCTAAATTCTGAAATGAAAGTAAAACATTAATCTGTGGATTTCATACTAACTGAAAAACTGACAAAACATTGTTGGAGCTGAGTTGAAGGCAAGCCTATATCCTTACATTTTCCTTGTAAAGAAACACACACACACACACACACACACACACACACATATATATATATATATATATATATATATATATATATATATATATATATATATATATATATATATATATATATATATATATATATATATAAAAGACATAGATCATCATTCGGGGTTAGTATCACTTTAAGGCAGGCCTGACTTCAGGCAGTGTGGCGGTGTTATATAACACGGCTGGCCAAGCACGGCTAAGCATTTTTATCTGGGCCAGCAACAGCTTCGTGAGGAGGGCTGTGTTTGTTTGTGTGTTTTTGAGAAACAGCCGGACAAAATTAAAAAGAACATGAAATAAAAGTTAAAAGTTGTACTGATGGAAAAGGAGTAAGTTACAAAAATACATGAAAAATAAAGATACTGGGAGGAAAAAAACAAAACAAATATACAACCTATCCAAAAGATTTGGCCAAATGTAAGCAGACTGTGGTGTTGCTCTGTGATGGAGCTGTTTTATTTTGAGGAACATTTGCTTATGAAATGAAGCAGCCAGAGGTGATGTCATTTAAAAAACATATGAGACAAGTTATACACTTGTATTCCTCCATCAAAATTGTCCTTTAAATTCATTGACCAAACGTCATTTTAACTCCGAGATCCAAAATTGCAACACCTTCTAAGCCATGAGTGACAGTGGAGCCTATTTCTATAAAAAATATAATAAAAAGAATATGTGTTTGCATAAACTATACTCACATAAATGCCTTCTATAAAAAAAACAAAAACAAAACTCAATCAACATATTTACAAAACACGTCTGAGTGTCTTGTGCCAAGGTTAAACTTTGGTGCATGGGGGAAAAGAATAGTTTTGGTAAAACAAACAAAGTAGAAGGTGTGCAGATTATTAAAAAGTGAGCGGACTTAAGAGTGTTTCTATGTTTGTGTGCATGTTAGCCAGCAGCCGAGACATCTGAATCGCCGTCCTAGATACCCAAATAAGTCTCATCACATAATTCTAAGTTACAACAATCGCCTAAGTCAGCTGGGAAGAAAATCACACGCACCCAGTGTCCTCGGCCTCATCGTCTGCCGCTCAGATCATGTCTAACCTTTGGATCAGTGTTTGTACTCGGACAGCCGGAGCTGAGCTGTGAAATCAATCCGTCACAAACACACAAGGAAATAAATCCGCACAAACTCCTAGAATACACATGAATTTCTCTTTGTATGTCCTCCATCGTTCATGCTTTATGTTTTTTTTTTTTTTTGTTGCACAAGGCTGTTAAGGCAGACTGATCCACAGCAGGGCTTCCTTAGCTGTATTTGAAAGCTGTGCCTCTCCACGGGTGAACATTTTACAGACGAGCTCATGCACCCACATCTAAAGCCAATTAACACCTTCGTCTCCCCGTGGTATTCTGCAATCAAGCGTCGTATCTTTAATCAGACATGAGTGCTCGCACAGATTTACACCTGCGCTTTGCCCGTTCGTATTTCATCCACACTGTTGCGGCAACTGGAAATTATATGAGGAAGCTCTGGCGATAAATAATTACCCCTTGTTTGTGATTACTCTGCGAGACAATTAGCCTCCGGTACTAGCGAGGTTGTTTATCCCTTTTCGAGGGGCCCAATGTGGTTGTATAGGACCACAAGAGTATACATTATAACTGGATAATTCATGCACAAACACCTGCCTTTGCTTAACCCAATTTAAAATTTCAGCTCTAGAAATCGCGTGCTTGGCATTAGAATGCCCAGCAGGACTTTGTCTGTTTATCGATGCAAAGCTAAGATCATAATCTTGCTGTGAGGAATTACAGTTTCAGTAAGAAATTTGCCTACACTCATCAACGCCGTTAATTTTTAGCTTTTAATTGTATCTTTGTTTTTGATGAAAGTTAAAGGACTGAACACATGCAGGGTTTTTTGTTATCACGCCACTATTCAAAGAGCTTGTATGCAACAATTTTACGTTTTACACTCTGATGCATCAGTAGGAAAGTCAAAGTTCAGCATCTTGTAAAGGGAAACTTGTGAAGTCGCAACCTCCTGATTACCAAGTGATTGTACTTTCCACTTATTCACACTGAAAGATCAAAAACTGTTCTTCCAGGGTCAAATGTCGACATAGTCTCCTATGGAGTCCTGCTTGGGCCAATTCCAAATGCTTAATGGATGGCAGTTGTGATCTGTGTCTTGGGATTCCAGTGATCCAGCTGTTCATGCTGGGCAAAGATGAAGTGTTTTCAAACAAACTTTCAACAAATTGTTCGTCCTTTTTTCATTTCAAAATGAATTTTTTTTCTTTTTTTTCCCGTGTGTGTGCAGCTGCAGCAGCAGAGCTTGAACATGTCCCTTCTGGAGCCTGGACTTTCTTTTTGCTCTGTAACCTCTAGATAAAAGGCGAGAAAATAACTTATTTTATTGTGCTCTGGAATGTTGGCGAACTCTCCCGGAATGGCGTCGGGTTTTTCCCCAGAGGAGCGCAAACCTTGATTCAAAAAAAAAAAGAAAAAGAAAAAAGGTTGTTTGACTTGAAAAGAAGGGCTGTTTCCATGCAACCTGACAGAGCTAGCTCAGTATTTGCAAGGAAGAACGGCATAAAACTGCAGAAAGCAGCCAGATGGAGATCTATCCACTCTGTGCTGTGATGCCATCACATCTCGCTGAATTGAAGCTGTTGAATAATTATGTAATCATGTGTTTGGTTATTTAATTGTCATTATTTTGTAGAGATTGGCTTTGTGCTTTGGCATTAAAGGATTTACTTTTAGAATAATATTTGTGAAAAGAAGCTAAATGTTGTGAATGGTGATTGATTTGTAAAATCAGCCAGAGAGTAAAAGGCTGGTCTGTCATTTTATTGGTGCACCTACATGGTGAATGTCACTTCCAAAGTTTCTTTCCACAAAACAATAAAAAAGAAACAACCTTTATTTAGTTAGCAAACAGATAAGTCTGATTTAACAACAAATTAAAAAAAACAAAAAACAAAAAAAAACGAGTCTTCATAATTGGAATTTAACGATGTAAGAAAATTAAAGCCGTTGAAATCACAAGCGAGACAGGAAGCCACCAGTAGAAGCCCGCTCTTGTGCATATTTCCTGGCCCACCCCTGAGCGCTCAGCTCAGATTGGCTCCAACTCCCATGCAATTAATTACCTGCCGGCATGTTTGAGACACCTGCAATGATTTATGGGGCCCTTTATTGAGATTCACAACACCGAAAGGTCAATTTCAGGACACAAAAGCACGCAAATCTGTGCTCCGGCAACGGAAACAAATGATTCGAAGGCATCCCTGCACCCCCCCCACACGATAAGAGAGGAACACTAATTTAATGTGCATTAGGCGCAGCTGCAGCGTAGCCACTTTAAAGTTTGTTGTTAAAGTCTGTATACACATACACAGATGCTTGCCTAGATTAGACGGTTGCTGCATGTTTTGTTGTTTTGCCCACAGGCTCTTTTTTTCATCCCTTGCTGAAAAGAGGGAATGGGAAAAAAAAAAAAAAAAACTCAACAGTGTATCTTCATTGTTTTTATGTTGAGTGGATCTTCATTTTATGTATTATTTTTTCTGTGTGAAAGTTTCAGTCCACCAAGTGTTTCAGTGATTTAAAAAGCACCTCTCTCTCTCTCTCTCTCTCTCTCTCAATCTCTCTCTCAAAAGCTTCTAAAAGTTTAGCCGTCTGGCTGAGATTTTTACCCACAGAAAACTGGAGCAGGCATCACCGCTTTGCTTTATAGCTCAAGGACACACGCACAAAAAAAAGCAGGACACGTGGCTGTAGGTGGGAACAGATGCTACTGGGGGACACAGTTGTTCGTGTCAGCGAGGACAGGCTTCCTCAGGCTAATATCACACTGCCAAAAGTGTCCTGAGAGAGAATGGATCACATGCAAAAAAAAAAAAAAAAAAAAAAAAAAATGATTCATATGACAGTCTCTGATATCATTTGGATGACAACTTAACAGCTTTGCATATCAGTTTGACAATAAAATCTGTTCCTTACCCAAGTATTAGAACTACTGTATTTAGCGAAACTCGTACTCAGGTTCGTTTCGTTTTACTTTATGTGAATGATATTGTGCTTTAGCAATCACTTTATGATTATTAAGGAATCAAAAAATGCAATTGTTTCACAGGAAGTCTTTCTCTGGCAAGAAGGCATAAAAGTCAGTGTGTGACAAAGACTGAGGCATAAAGGTAAAAATAAAAACCTTTCAGCATACCGTCCATCCAGTGTCCTGGGGTGCCTACACTACACTGTGTTTCTGTTTGTGCTCATAAATTGCACATCAAAAACACACATTTCCCTCTTAAAACCTTTTACAATCACTGAACATGACATTTAGATTATAATGCATTTGGAACTGAGCTTTTATGTCCCATCTGCCTCACCGGGATTTTCAGGAAGACGCCAGTTTCAAATGAGTAATTTCTTTTTCTATCGTTTTTAGTAGAAAATAAAGAAAATTGTGTTTACACAAGTTTGATTTACATAAGGAAAAGTGGCCACATAAAATCTGAGCATCAAGTTATAATTAAATGCTATAAATCTGTAATCCATGAAGATGAAGAATGTTACGAAGCCTGTTGTTAAATACTTAAATCAAGTGTTTTGTTTTAATAAGATGCGTAATATTCTATTCAATAAAAAAAATGTGTTTATCAGTAAACTTTGAAAATAAATCTACAGCTCAGATGTGCTATGAAAGCTATAAAAGCCACAAACCAGAAGCATTTTGGGGCCTCATTTGCATATTAGGAATTCATTTTGGGATTACCTTTGCAACATTTTCTCACTGAAAACAGACTGTAGTTGTTGCCAACTGACAAAGCGCAGTTGCAATTACTTTGCTGTATCTCGTTTTAATACACTTAATTTGCCTTTATTTCCCTCTTGCTTGCAGGCTGTGGGAATGATTGAGGCCTCTCGATCTAATCAGGAGCGAAACGACGTGACAAATTTTGAAGAGAAAAAAAAAAAAAAAAAAAAAAAAAAGTCATTTTCTGTGGGCGTAGTTGGATGCCTCCCAACAAAAAGGTCTACAGTTTAAATGTCAGGACTCTCCGAGATGCGTTTCCGTGTTCTTCGTACTGGGTGTCACAACTCATAAACGTACCATTTCGTTATGTAATTACAGACCGGCGCATCCATCTTTTCACAGGATGTACGCCATCTCTTACCTCGCAACAGCTTAAAAATATTTTTGTTACTGTTTGATGTGCGTTATATTAAGAATATATTTCAATATTTAGAATTAAATGTCAACTGCACATTGAAAAATATGGATATACAGTAAAGGTAAAAAACCCCCAAACATGTATGTAATATTTAATAGCAATGCAAGTGAATCATATTTTTGTGTCTAAGCCTTTGGGACGTCGCTGCTTGACAGGCTCCAGTATTTTCAGCATTTCGGAGTGACGTAAACAATAAAGATTTACTTGGAAGGCCTGACGTTTCGTATTTCCACATACAGTTCAATGCCACCTAATAAATCAGAACTTGATAGCTCACTGGATCTTTGCCATCACAAAACTCTGGCCTGCATGAGTTCACATGTGAAGGAGCAGGTGATGTATGAAGTATGACTTTCATACCTCATGTCAAATGAAGTATGAGTGGCTTGTGCAATATTTCATGACACAGTTTTTTTTTTTTTCTCTGAGCCACTCTGGTGCATTTCTTAGAACGGAATTGAATTTCTCTAACATGGTTGTTTAATCTTGAAATTATCGTGTGATCAGAAGATGAATTTATCATTTTTGTGAACAAATTCTAAATGCTTTTGTATGAGAAATACTGTTTTCCAAATGTCACGGATGATTTGAGAAATGCACCAAAGCAAATGAGAAAATCTGTAAGAAGAAACCTTCAACATTTTTGAGTGTTGCTGAGATCAAAGTCCTTGTTTTTTTGTTTAAGTCTTGTAAATATTAGGTTATAGAGCAGGTACTGCAGAAAATTGTACCCCTTCTTACATCTTCTACCTGTCAGGACTTAAAATGTCTAGAATTTTGTTTGTATATGATGAAGGAAAATGTCTGTAAGGAGCACTGCTGGACCCACAAAAAACATAATAAGAAAAAAAAGGTTTGCTTGATGCTGCTGCAGTCGATTGTTTGTCTAAATAAATGGAAATTGAAGGTGATTTTCTGGTATCCAAAGGGGAGAATAGAAAATGACAAAATAAATGAGTGCTCTTTTTTGTTTCTTCCACCTCTCTGCAGGAAGAAAATGATCTGCCACAGTCCTTTTGTTTAGTCGGCTGACAGGTAACACACACACACACACACACACACACACACACACACACACACATGCTTATTCCCTCTCACACAAACTAACAAACGTGCACCACACCTCAGTTTGTGCCACCTCTATGAAACCTGATGAATGACATCCCCATTTCAATTACTGCCCCTCTCTGCACCTCTGGTTTGTATAACGTTGTCTCTTACATCTTCTGCCAACCTCTTAAACCAAACCTGCCGAGATATGTGCTCTCATCACAGAGTGATCCTTGTTTTTTTCTGAGTCATAACCACAAGAAAAGTATTAGAAAACATAAAAAGCCATTTATAAGTGGGTTTGTGGATAATGTATATGTGTGCAGTGAGTATCTTGCCTGCAGACTGCAGAGGCAAAGTAGAATTTATTCTAGAGGATCTGGCAAACGTTCTCAGTCGGGAATCGAGGTGAATGAATTTCATTCACCTGAAGCACATTTTTCTATCAGTCTGCTGCCAGATCAATGGTTAATGTTCTGGCTAATGAACACTAGCAGACCAGAAACGTGATAAAAATTGAAAATGTACATTTTTTTTTCCATTATGCCACTCATGGCATAGATTTCATCCACTTTCATCTAAAGACTCAAGTCAGTGTCTTCTGGGTTGTAAGTACATGGATGGATTTCTATGCAAGCCAACTTCTACTGCTTAAAGATCCAGCAGAGACACAAACCAGCGATTGTTAACCCAGTAATTAAAACCAAATGCCCGACAGAGAAAATGAGCGATGACGTAAATTGGTTGATTCGACGATGATAACATTCAAAATTCAATTTTAATCACCCTGGTAAGATTGAGCTGTTTTACATAAAAAGTGGTTTGCTTTCTTTTTTTCTTTCTTGACAACTTCTCTCTGACTCTTCAAAGTAAGACAGCAGATATGTTAAATGCTTCTACACACTCACTAAAATACCTATTTAAAAAAAACAAACACACAAATAAACAAAAAAAAACAACAACAACTATTAAATCAAGATCAAAATGTAAGAGGAAATTAATATATATATATATATAGTTAATAGGCCAGGAGAAGAGAACTGACTGATAGATGGATAGCATTTTATGTGTCATCCTATGTGAGAGGAGAAAGACAAAAAATAATGCATAATGTGAATTTCAGCATGGCTACATTATTAAGCAGCTAATCATGTGTTGCTAATGATAGACCTTGTTCCAGCTCTCACCAGCCAGCCTCTGCAAGTTGACAGGATTGGTTCCGGCTTGTTATGCATGAAGCGCGTTTTTAACCGTCCTTTCTAAGGATTTCAGTTTCAAGGTGGATGTTCTCGGCAGCGCATTACGCTGTGTCATACAAGCTCAGCCAAAATGGAAAAGCAGAATGGAAACGCTAAAATCCTCCCTAATGATTTTGTAACAGGCAAAAGAGGGAGCAGCAGCTGAGTGGTGCAAACACAGTGTTGGTTATTCGAAAACATAAAATACAGGTACATCTAAAAGAAAACTTGAATTTGAAGTTTAATGCTTTTGTCACTTATTTCAGAGTGAAACTCATATATTGACTAATTACTCAGTCAGATAATAGCCTTTTCATGATCTCATGTAATATAAAACTATTCCAAAACAATGACTTTTGAGTTTTCATTATCTGTAAGCCACAATTATTTCCACATTAGAATGTAAATGCAAAGGTTTTAATTCACTTCTGATGATGATTAGTTGCAGCTTCATCAATTTTTTCCCCCCCATCAACTGTAAGTACTCACATAAGAGTGTGCTAATGGAAATTAGCCTCAGTAAATAAAACAAAGTGTTGCAGACGTAGTTGTTTTGATCAGTTTCTTGATAGTAACATCTTTGTGACACCAAATGTCTTCATTGTTATTGGAAGACACGATGCCCTGGGAAATTAAGCTCCTGCTTTGCCCAGCTACTCATTCTACACAAGAGTATGCATAATTGTATTACCGCAAAAAGCTTATCAGAGTATTCTTTTTCCAAAATTCAGCCCAAAAAAATTGCAACTGCAACTTAAATATTGCAGGACAGACACAATAACGGCTCTGGATAGATTAATCTCTCGGTGTCCTATCCAGATCTTTTACTCACCTGGGAAAGTTGTTTAAAGATGAAACCTATGGTGGCCCTGGCTACCTAATTAATATGATTAATAATTATCTGCTCATTTGGGGGTAACCATAGATGGTCAGGGATTGTATCTGTTGCAATATAGAAACAGAAAAACAATAAAGTGAGACATGGTCGTCACAGAAAGGTTTACATGCCTGGTTATGACACAGGCGAATACTGTGAACTCCACACCACTGATCTCATTATATCCTGAAGTGACTATTTAGAATGGAGCCATCATTAAAAGCATCGTGCATACGTAAGACATTACCTGAAAGCTAGACTGTGTAGCGCTTCCTTTAATTTTTTCATAAATAATACGTCATATGACAAAATGTGACACATTGTGGCAGCAGCTCTAGAAGAACATTGTGATCATTTATCCGTGGAAACAAATTCATCTTAGTTTTTTTTTTGTTTGTTTGTTTTTCTAAAGAAACTTCTTTGCAGGTCTTCAAGTTTTGGTTGATAAAGTGCTGTGCTCATCAGAGACAAATACATTTCCCACAATTATACCCATTTCACCCGCAATTAAATAATGACCACTACAACACTGTTTTAGGGCTTAATCGTTTATGGCTAACTCAAGTGTTTAACCTCTCCAGGTTCTGAACTTAACATGGCTGTGTTAAAATGAAATCACTGTGCATTTCCTTGCAACAACATGAGTTCAAGCTCATTAATAATGAAAAGGATCACTGAAAAAAAAAATGAAGAAAAAACAGAAAAACATCTTGAAATGTAGAATGCTTTCCAGATGTTCCTGGTTTGGGTTGTTTAGTTGAAAACAGGATGTGCTTTTTTTGTTGTTGTTTTTACAAGCATCATACACCAACGATGTGTGATGCACTTAACGAGTTGTCACTGATAGACTACATTAAAGACAACTGATGCATTGTCTCTAAATTATGATGAAGCCTCTGTGTTAGATTTTATATGACTTTTTGACTCCAGGAAGATGACACTGATTGTGTCACAAACAATGTGGAGGAAAAAAAAAATGTCTCAGAGATGGAAAATCTACTAGCAGACAAGATAAATTGTGATTCAGACGTTTACAGATCGACCAGGAATCATAAGTCTAAATAAGTGGACTTTTTATTGGAAACAAACAAAAACACTGCTCATAAAAACCTCAGATTTCCAAATTCATGTTTTCTTAGTAGAGATCTACGGTGCCTTGCAAAAAGTATTCTTGCCCTTGAAATTTTTGAATATTAAAATCATTTAGTTTTCTGGATTTTTTTTTATTTTTTTTTATGGTAAAGCATCACCGTGATGTGGATTACAGATGGTTTGTATACCGCCTCCACCAGTCGGTAATTTATGGGACGACCTTTCATTGCCAAGGATTTGCAATTGGATTCGGATCAGGATTTGACTAGACCACGGTTTGATCTAAACTGGGGGTGGCTGATTCCAGTCCTCAACATTAAATGTCCTGCGCATTTCAGATGTTTACCTAGATTAACGCACCTGGATCTAATGACTGTCACTCATATGGGACCGCCTCCAAAAGGTGCAGAAATTAGCTCTCTAGGACAAAACCTGACCAGCCCTGACCTAAACTATTCCAGTTAAACTTTGACTCTCTCAGTATTGTGCTGGCTCTAGTAGGCTATGTTCCAGAATTGCTCTGTAGCTTGTGCAATCCATCTTTGATTAACTTTGACCAGTTTTTCTTTTCCCTGCTCAAAAGAGCGTTCCTCACCACAGCGTCATGTTCCGGGAGGTGGGTAGTGATTTCTGAGTGAAGCACCAGTTCTACATTTCTGCCACAAGTAACATTGTGCATGTAGCCCCAGAAAGGTTAATGGCATAATCTGAGGAGAGCACCTTCTTCCACATGTTTGCAGTATTGCAGGATTAAATCGCACTCCCCCCCCAACAATTGTTTTTTTTTTTTTCTTTCTGACTCCACCATGATGGTCGGACTTCTTGGTGGCAACCTGTCAACAGCTGGTTGCCGTGTCAACAGTTTTCTCATCTGTTCTCTGGATCCCTGTAGCTACTCCAGAGGAAAGTGTAAGCTTGGAATATTGTTTTATATCTAACCCTGCTTTAAATTTCTCCAGAACTTTATCACTGACCTGGCTAGTATGATCCTTGGTCTTCATGATGTTGTCTGTTCTTTGCTATTCTTTAACAAACATCTAAGGCCTTTGCACAATAGTTGTGTCTTTATTTACATATCAAAATAAAGCCAGGTGGATTCATTTTAGTAATTTTTTTTTTTTTTTTAAGATGGTTGATTGGTTTGGATTTTATTCAAGGGTATGGATGCAGAATTAAGTCATTTTAATTGCGGCATTTTCCTTTTACCTCTCAGTTATGCACTACTGTGTGTTGGTCTACCACAAAATGTCTTTAAAGGGTTCGAGGTTAGTTTTGCAAGATACTGTAAGACTCCTAACCACATATTTAGTTTTTTAAAAAAAAAATGAGTAAGAAAAGAATCAAACACCTTCTCTCATCTCCACCTAAATAATCACTTAAATTAAGCTGAAGAAACTGTTTCTACATAAATGAAGGAAAACCTGTTGTCACAGGAGATCCTGACAAGACGGCAAGCCTTGTGAATGGTGAAATTTTATTCTAGTTGCTCTATAGAGAGAGAAAGAGAAAAGGAGAGATAGAAAGAGAGATAAACAGTGCCACTGTACAGAAGAGCTCTTGTGAAATCCACACAAAAAAATATTGTTTTTACTCTTTATAATTCTCCTTGATGATGTATTTCAGTATGAATTTACAAGCGATTTTTACAAGTGTAATTTCTAAATATATTCAAAATAGTTCCTTAAAAGTCTTTGAGGAAGTATCAGGTTTTTTTTCTCTCCTTTTTTTTTTTACATTTTTTTTTTTAGAAAAAAAAAAAAGCTCTATTCTTACAGCAAACAATAAAGAAAGAGGTCTTGTATCTTTGGAGGGATAGCAGACTCGAAGTCGAGGGTTGCTTTTTTTCTTCTTCTTCTTCTTCTTCTTTAGATTTCAAGTCCTGACACACATGAAGGAGACGTAAGAGAGAAGCAGAGCTGGTGATACAGTATTTCTCACCCGCCTTCAGAGAAAGAGCGAGGATGTCCCACCATCCCAAGCCAAGCCTGAACCCCCAACCTCCCGCCCCCCACCCCAACCCATGCAACCTGTTACATCACTGGACAAAACATGGCCTGATAGCAACCAGTCCGCCAGTACGGGGGAGGGCCGCAGAGAGGGGTCAGTTCCTCGCCTTCTTCCTCAAAACAGCAGCATCTTCATTGTGTTAAACACAGATATATATATGTATATATATATATATATATATATATTATTTTTTTCTCTCAAATATGTATATACTCACATCTGGTTACAACGCATTAGTGATCATAACATCATAACCAAAATAAACAAACAGAATGAACAAAAAACCAAATAAAACCAAAAAAAAAACATAAAAACATAAACTTATTACATCTTGGGGTTGCATGCCATCACCTCATTAGTTATCATTAAATGTAATTAAAATACATTTTTTGTCATTTAATAAAAGAGCAGGGTTGTCATCACAAGGGCGGGGTGTTTGGGTGCGTGTTCGAACATAAAGACGGCATCAGCTTAACATGATGGTTCTGTAACAGTTGAACAAACTGAACAAAGTGTCGTGAGTCCATGAAACAAAATGGTGCGTTGTTGATATTTTCCATGTGCATATTGCTCACTTGACAGCTTCACACAGGCAGCATGTGGAGATAAATATGATAATAACCGCAATAAATATGCAGATAAATGCAAAAAAAAAAAAAAAGAAAAGGGACAAAAGCGGGGAGAGGGAGGGGGTGGTTCAGTCAACATCAGGGATACGCTGTTTGGGGAGCAAGGAGAGGTTCACTGTAGTATCTCAAAAACGGTGATATGACAGAGGTTGTTAAAAATAGCAAAGATGGAGCTTCAGCTGAAACACAGTGGCTAATGCAGTCAAGTAGAGAGAGGAGGGACAATCCCATTATTCCATATGAGGATAGCTTTTCAGAATTCGTTCTGTGAAGGGTGCTCAGCTTGGCAAAAAAAAAAAAAAAAAAAAAAAAAAAAAAAAAAA